TGATTCATGTCTTCAGTGCAAAACTATATGAGTGCAAATAAATGATGTACAAAGACAGTTTTGTCTTTGACATCATCTGTTCTAAATGTTGCTACTATACTAACAGCCTTTGATATGCATCTCGTCATGGCTGTAGATCTTGATAAACACACTTAGGAACTGGGAAGAAAGTAAAATATAAATTACATTAGAATGAATTAAGAAAAGAACTGCATCTTGGTACCCTCCCAAGCGGAGAGATTTATGAAAGCATCACACACCAAGAGAAAGGACTTCTTTCCTTTTCTGTTTCAACTTCACCATCACTTTCACCACCACAGTTTCACAGGACTTCTTACTTTATTTATCACCAAGTTCCATAATTAACATATGGTTCATGTTATTGATTTCTCAGGTTTCAAAGTAAAATAAATTGAGCTTTCTTCCACATTTAGAATATACAGTTTTTTTAAGGAACTCTAAACAAAGACACACATTATTTGTAAGTTAGAGAGCAGCTGCCAGAAAACAGAAAATTAGGAATGGAGTCATGGGTGAAATAATGGAGATACTGTTCAGAGGTAACCCTTTGTACAGCAGGAAATTTTCCTTAGAAAAGACAGCTGAGTTTGCTTGTAAATTTTGCTAGAAACAGGCCTGATTTAGTAACATTTAGTGCTGGTTAGGAGGCTGAAGACACACTTTCAGCTTTGGATACCAAGCAAGTGCTTTCTCGTATGGTTTTGTGTAAAGTCCAAACACTTTATAGTTTCAAAAAGTATGTGTGTATTGGGGGAGGGGAGGGCGCGGGTGCAATTTTTTAAATGAATAGAATAATCTATAAGCAAATATTAGATCTGGGAGTAGAGAAGAACTTGCCAAGACAAAAATAATAAACTGTAGGCATTATCATAAAAGAAATAACCCATACATTATACTATAAACATTTTCAGCTTAAAATGTACATAAAACTAAAGGCAAATAAAATATTTGTAAAAATTATGACAGAGGTTTAATATCCTTAACATATAAAAAGCTCTTACAAACCAATAAGAAAAAGAAAATTACCCAATTTATATATGGATAAGGAACATGAACAGACAATTTCAGAAAGAAATACATGTATATAAGTAAATAGGTGGAGGAAATATTCAACCTCACAGATAATCAGAGAAATGCACATTAAAAATCGGAATGTAGCATGATAGGAGATGATTAAATGTGAAAATTCATTTAATGGAACGATTTTTCCAAAGTCATTTTTGAAGAAAAATTGCACAAAGAAAGATGAGATCCAAACTGTGTATATGTAATATCCCAATTGTGAAATACGTTTCAAATGCATGTATAGAAAACTAAAAGGAAATATACTAAAATACTAATAGTATCTATCTCTGTTGTGGTATTATCCATCGTTTATGTTTTTGGTCTAAAATGAGCATCTACTACTATTACACAATAGGACAGATTTTGTAAAATAATCAATATGTATACATTAAAAACATTAGTACATATTTACTGATGCTGCTATTGACAAAATGGCAAACATGGAAAGATTAGGAAAAAATAATGTGATAGGTTTTCTAAGAAGACAGACTGACACAACTGTTATTATCTCCTTTAATCTTACTGGCATTTGACCATTAAATAGTATAATTGGGCTATGAAAGAATTTCATTGGATTGTAAATGGAAGCACTTGCTGGTGAGTAGTAAACTTCTAAATTAATGTCTGCATATAGAATAAAGTTACAAGCCTGGTTTTACTACAGTGGCAGGCACTGGTGTGGGTTTCTTTAATGATCTTTAGATTTTCAATATTTTTCACTTGAAATCACCTTTCAGTCCTCTTGTTAAAAATGAGCTCGTAACAATTACATAATATAGTTAAGCAAAGTCTTTTTAGGACATATGCATTATTCTGTGATAAGAAAGGAATGTTTCTTTTCAAACCTGTGTTGGCCTGTACAGGGAGATCGGCCACAAAGAGATAAGATGTTGTGAACACAGAATGGTTTAATGAAGGACTGTCAGAGGTCTTTCCAGTTTTTCTTGAAGTAATAAAATATTTAATTCGAGACTTGAAATACTAACAATGATCTTCGTAACAGATACTTGCCCTTACAATAACACAAATAACTCCACTATTCACTCAGACAACCTACTAATTTTTTCTTGAAAAATTAAAAGAGCGGACAGGGATGCCAAACAAAGGACATTTGAATGTATGTTTATTATCTTTCAGCTTTTTTTTATCTGTCTTCCTTTAAAGTCTGTTGTCCCTTCCCATTGTGGCCCTTTGAACATATGAAGATGAAAATAGACCAGTATGGATGATAGTAAATGGAAACTGTTTAGGATGCACTGTTTACAGAAAGATAAATAAATACCCGCAGCTTTGGTAGTCCTCTTGTTGGATTTAGAAAATTGGCATCACCAAACACATTCAAAATAGCTTTTATCCCAGACCGAACCATCTATTATATATGGTAGGTAAAATTGCTGTGTTCCAGCACAGCCCTTTGAGCCGTAAGCTGTCAAAGGTGGAGGCAACAGGCCCTTGATGGTAACCGAAAGTGTTGAGTAGGAGAGAGTCCCATTTCACTCAGATAGAAACCACTGAACTTTCTTTCTTCCACTCAGAATAACAAAGTCCTAGCCTCTGGTGATTGATGAGCATGTTGCCAGGGGAAATGGACTGGAAAATCGTCGCCTTGTCTTTTACTTGCCACAGGAAAGCCATAACAGAGATCTCTATTCTTCTTGTTCTGATAAGAGGCCTGAGGAAGCATCAAGGGAGGGCTGTGAAGCCTGTACGTCTGTTATATCCAGCTGCTTGCTCAATTGCCTTTTAAAATACGGCCCATATAGTTCCCTAACTCTTAAATTGTACATGTGTGCAGTTGGATAGCCTTTGACAAGCCATGCAGCTTTTTTGACCACTACAAGGTGGCGTGTGAGCTGAAAGAGGCTATTTTAATAAGGACAGGTATCCCCTATTTGCATTTCTGAAAATGTGTAATGAAATTCCATATGTAGAATTTTTTTGTTCCTACTGGCATTGTTAACTTGGATATTTGTAGTCTGGGAAAATTTGGGAGCTCAGAAACATAAGCTGGAGCTAAACTCATAAATGCCAATAATGTTTTAACTAACAAGGAATGATGTAAGAAGCACCCCCATAGCACACCTCTTTCCAGAGCCCTTGGTGGTAGGATGCAGAGCTGCTGGGGAAGCCGTCCATGGGCATTACACTTGAAGCTCAGGATTGCACATGCACATGTCTTTGGTAATATCTGAAGAATCAATTCTGAGAGAGTCCACTTCACACCATCCAGTTGTCACATAAGAGGGAATGTCTGAAGTTGAGTGGGATTCCTATTTATTAACGTTTCCATGTTGGTCTTAGCAAGAAGGACCTATTATTTCAATACTATGTTCTCAGCATCTTATGGATTTGAAGTTTTTAAATTTTCATGAAAATACTACTTTGTGTTCAGAAATCAGGAATCCTTAAAGACAATGTTGGCAGTAAACATCTCAAAAAGACTCAGGGAGCATTATATACTAGTGTATTTGGGAAATGTGTTTAAGAGATTAGCATTTCCACTTCCATGACTTCTTCTTTTGTGTCTTTTCAAGGCCTGTTTTTCAATTCTGAGTTAGTAAATTTAAACCTTTCCTACATTAAGTAGGTCTCTCACAGATGATATTTACAGAAATAACAGCCCATCCACTAAAGTTACTCCCAGAACCTTTACCTGGTAGAAGTGGTCCTGTGTACCGTTTTATTCTCTCCCTGGCCTTGTGCTTCTTACTAGAGTGAGTTGGAGCATTTTGTTAATTCCATTTGTTGGTGGAAAGATAGATTGTCTGTTCCTAACTAACTCTTGGCAGCCCGAGAATGGCCATCCTGAGCCCACCACCCTAATGCTGGCTTTGAAAGCCCCCTTGGAAGTGGAAACGCGTCCCCTTTCTTCCCCAGGGTCAGGAATGCTGCAGGTTATTGCATTATCATCTTCTGTTATTCACCCCCCAAAATGAGAGGACTGCCTGTCTTAGACCAAAACCTGCACATTGTTCACTTGCTGAATTCCCTGCTTGCTATGAGTATTCCCTAGAAATTTTTGAGAAATTTCTGAGAAGCTGACTACATTTTCACATCAGCTAGTATACTTTAGAACTTAAGAGGGAAGAAAAAGTGAATTGAATACATTCTTGTTTTTATGAGCATATTCACTACTTCAGAGGCACCAAAATTTCACCCCATGCTATGCCCAGACACAAAATTGAGGAGCCTCTTTGTTGTGTCTTTTTGAAATGCCCTTTGGGGCTTCTCAAATTTGTTATAAAAACGCTTATCAGTGTGATTTTCCCATTACAACTTTCCATTGTTTTCTCCTTAAACTGGACTTTTTTTTTTTTTAACTTGATTTTTGAGTCATGCATAAGATCATGGTTAGGCGATCTTCTGCTGCGCTTTTTTTTTTTAATTACATGCCTTTATTTGTTCACCTGAGCTGAAATCAACAAGGCCTAATCTATAACACAACCACCATTGTAAGTGACCCCCGCCGTTTGATTCATGATTATATTGAGAGAAAGTGGATCTTCTCAAGGTTCGGGCAGATTCCTCAATCTCGCAAAACATTGCATGCAATTAAATTAATGGGCTTGAACTCGAGATTCTTTTGTGTGTGTGCTTGTATGTGAGAGAAAGAGTGAAAGACTTACCCCATGCATAGAATTTTTTAACTGGGCAGCGCTATGATACTTAGCTAGAGGCAAGAGATGCCCTGTTGGCTCCTAGGCCTTTCCGGAAGCTGCTTGCTGGAGTAGACCCCTTGGAGATGAATCTCACGTGGTTTCTTTTTGCCTGAGTGATGTTCCTATCCTAACTTACAGACCTTAGAAGGCCTTGGAAGAGGAATACTTCTTATATCAAAGGTACTTTGGAGATTGGAGTCTGCAGTTTTCCACTCAGGAAAATAAACCAGAGTATTAACTCCCAGCAAATGCTACCTCCTTGGTTTGAAGCCGTTTGTAAAGCATTTTCTTCCTGGTTTGTGCGCCCCGCATTGTTTCGGCTCCTCTCATCACTGACCAGCTGGCTTGTTGGTGAATAGAGCTGTGGGCCCCTCGCCATGTTTCATGTGAGGTCTTGGCTGGGTGGCAAACAGGCAGCCTGTAGCCAGTGTCAGCAGTTCAGGAGGAATTGGCACAGCAGTGTCCCCATTAATTTCTGCTTGTCACATACTGTCATGCAAGTTACACCAGAGAGGAAATGACCGTTAGAAAAAAAAAAAAAAAAGGTACCCTTGTGGCACTGGGTCCCCTCCAGACGTTCCCCGAGGTTAAACAAGTGGATACAATTAGCTCTACACAGACAGCTGCGGGGAAGGGAAAGCCTATAAGTGGGCCCCACAGCAATATGTCTTTCCTGTTAGCAAGGAGTGTCAGCTATCAACATCTGCCATATTTTAACCCTTCAAAGGGACCGGTAAATTAAGGGGAGCTATTATCCCACGCTCTGCTGATCATTATCAATCATAATGCCCTGGGAAATTACCACAGTGCTGCTGCCTTGGTGGCGGGTTTTTGTCCTTTGGGAAGCGTTTTGTTTTTTTTATGTTTTTGCTGGGAGCAGAGAAGAGTGGTGGGGGCAAGAGGATGAGGGAAAAGTGGCCCTTTAATTGTTGGTAATTTACTGCCACAGGGAAGGAGACTAGAGAGGCAATAAACTCCTCTTCAGTTCAAACAGAAGTCGTTAAAATTGGTGGGCTCCAGACGGCTTCCATTTCCAAAGAGATTGATCTTGCTGACTGACTTTTGTCAAGCCCGTCTTCCCTGAGAGCTGGGGTGGTTTTTAGAGCACAGATAAGAGCTTTGGGAAAGGAGAACCACTTCTAGAGGAGGAAGGCCATCCAAGATGAGAAAAGAAACTCAGAATAAATTAGAGGCTTCCGAAAACTGAAATTTTTTAAAGATTGAGATGATTAAGCTGCTGTTATCCAAATAGAGTCCTGAGTAATCTTTGTAAGCACGTACTTTGTTTGAGGGTATATTTGTCTAGTGAAAATATGATTCCCAGCACGAGGGGATGGATGAGGCGGTCCCATGTGACACAATGCTGTTGAGACTTATTTGTCTGAACTAATCATTAAAACTAGGGGAAAATAGAGAATGGTTTATTACAATGCTTTAACTCCAACAGGTATTGGGTTCACATTTGTGAAGTTGGAACTTTCTCTTCTGGAAAGATAGCATTTTGCTCAGGGGGATGGGTATTTCTTTATCAGACAGGTGTTCTGGAAATGGTCAGTAATGATAATGGTAGGAGATAAGAACTGATATTCATCTATGTGATTGCATCAAGGACAGAACATTGAAAGGAATAATCATAGTTGGATTTCACTAGGTTCTTCCTTAATGTTACTGAGGAAAATTCTGGCACTATTTAAAATAACTTTCAGTGAGGGCTAGAGCAACCATTAGGATAATTGAGTAAAAGTAACAATGTGTCATATTATCTAGATTTCATCTATTCCTATAGGGAAGAAGAGATGGCATGATCACCAAGGAGAGCTTAGAGATATTGTCAAGGATGAATGGTAGAGAGTTATTCCAGTCTTCTACTTGGCATTATCTAGTCTAAGACCCTCATTTTATAGATTAGGAATCAGAAACTCAGGGAGGTTAGGGAATTGTCTAAGATCTCACAGGGAAGCAGAGGCACAAGGCAAGCCTCTCCTTCCTAGGTGAACTGTTTATATATCATTCCATGGGCAGTACAGCAGCAACAAAGGGCTGCCCCTGCCCTGTTGACAGGCAGGAGTAGGAGGAACCACAAATCTGGGGTAGAGGTGACTTTCTTCAGTAAGGGACACAGTCAATTTCTGCCATGATGTTAGGCTGTAGATTTGATGCACCAGTTTTAGTTGGCCCTAGGAGAGCAAGACACCAATTTTAAAAGATTGTCTTCTTGTCCAATTTTAAGCATAGCTAGTAATATATAAAAGTATTTCTTAATGTCAAAATAATATACAGATTTGGAGAAATTTACCTCTTTGGCTACTTAACAATCTTTTATGTATTCAATCACAGAGGAGAATCAGTCAAGTTTACATAAATATGAAGCCACATAAATAATGTGCTCAATCCTTAACTGTGGGATCTCATTCAATAGATGGGTAGACTGTATGTGAGTTTTTTTATTACTTACGTTACTGATCTCTGATTTTAGGGGATAATCAATACTTCTGTTTGAGCTTAGGTGAACATTGAAGCATAACATTTAATTAAGTTAAATGTCACAGTTTGATGTTCAGAAGTAGATTTATTCACCATAAGATAGATTCTTCATTACAAATGAAAACATACAGAAACTAAATTATACTTATCCGTGTTTAAATACCATTATTTTTCTCAGAATTGTTCCTTAGGCCTGATTTCAGGATCTGTCATATAGCATCAGGCTTCAGTTGAAGCACATACCTGAAGATTGTGTAGGCTCCAGAGGGATACCAGATGATGCGAAACAGGACAGCAGAGAAAATACCAATTTCGTGAACAATGATGAGCCAGTAAGAGAAAAAAACACTGGCTTGAACTTCATGGGTCAGCACTGAATCATTACTAAACGCCTGTGGTATTCAGAATCATAACATCGGTTGTGAAGAACTGCTTTGGTAGTCATGTGTCCATAATATGTAACTCCGTAACAATTCTCTTGGTTTTGGTATTAATTAATAGTGACTATATTTCATAACATGGCATATTTCATTTGGAGATACTTGCCTTAAAACAAGTCAACTCAAAACTCGAAAATCTTTCCTAGCACTCATTAAAATTCTAATTGCTGAGTTCTCATGGGAAAAAGTAGTTTCTCATTTTAAGCCTCAACATTTCAATAGGATTTGGTATAGCATTTCATTTCACTTCTAGTCCTAATGACTCACTGCATTCTTTTCCCCAGAACTTATCCCCTGTTTACCCTCGGAGTTCTCTCTCATGTAGACACAAGCCTAGTGAATCAGTAGGCATGACTATTTTCATGAACAGCTGAATAGTTCAACGTCCGTAATGCCGTTGGAAAACATTGTCTCGTCTGCAAGCTGAAGGAAAATTAATGTTTCCTGTACATTTATATCTTGATTGGATTTGAATTTTTTTAAAAAGATTAGATTCTGGGTGAAACTTTTCAGAGCTGACCTGGGACACTCTCATGCAGTTGGGAAGTAGCCCTATCTTCATTTTACAGATGGAGGCAGCTGGCATAACCAGCTAATTAATGACTTGCCCAAGTTCACACAAGTAAAAAGCCAGGAGCTAGATTTGTGACTCTTGCATAATCCATAGGATTAAATACAATTTATATATCTTGGTCAGTGCTATTTAATAAGTCCTATTTACATAAATGTGTTAACATTTCCGTGCCCTCTGGGCCATTAAGGCAATTTATTTTTATAATTTTAATTGTTAACAAACTTCTGAGTGTATCAAATAAACTCAAACAAAATGAAGATAGATCCATTAAATTTTATTATGTTTAAACCCCATGGTGTCAGTGATAGGATTCAGAAATGAAAGCTTTTCATTAGATATTGGCTATTACAAACATTGTGTCTTGTTTAACACAATATTATATTGTGTTATAAATTATATTCAAAGTTAAGGAGAATATACCCTTATTTCTGCAGATTTACTTTTTAGGACTATATTAGTGTGTTTTCAAAGATACAGCTTATTTCTTTAACATAACAATTCTATAAAAAGTTAACAGAATTGCCTGTATGATCACTGGTTTTATATTTCTTCACACATCTTTAAATTGTCACCTGTTTGTGGCTGCAGTTGCCATATTGTTGTCATTGAGAAAAGAGTCCACATTCAGATAATCTCTACTTAAATTCTCTTATCTCTAATGAAAAGATCATGCCCTTTTCGTTTTTTAATTTTGGGAGAATAACACATGAACTTCAATGCAGTTGTGAATTAGAGCCCAACTTAGTTAAGACAAACATCCCTTTCTTCTTAAAATATCAATAATAATCTAGCAACTCAAATAGAAGATTTATCATCACCTTAAAATGTCTTAGCTGTTTTTCTCATGTGACTGAGTATTTTATGCTTATATTTGAGAACAAATGAAGATTGTGCGAGACCACTGAAAATAGAATTTTAGTATTTTGAAGGAATTATTTAATTACATTGTTCCTCCAAGCAGTTCAGAAACCACTCCTGGAATTTATTTATGTAGTGCTTTATAGATATTATAATCTGTGTCTATTTCCTTTATAAAAAATAGAAGGCCTCCCAGGCTGCCGTTTTTACTATTGATTTTTATAATGATCAAATAAGACATCCCTGTAGAAATATACTTTATAGTTGTTTAGCTGGTAATCCACACTCTACCTCAAAACTTAGGGTAACCCATTATAAACATTATCATTAAATATCATTAAAGCCTTTTTTTAAAAAACCTCATTTATGCCAGGTACATTTTTATATTGTGAGAGCTGCTTGAAAGCAAAGCAGGGCTTGTAAAAAAAACATATTAGAATGCACTTGAAATTCACATTGCAAATGTAACAGGTCAGATTTTCAAAGCCAGTGTTCTCGTTGTTCCATCAGGTCTCAAAAGATGACTGGAATGTGGAAAAAGGCTGACCTCCCACAGCGTGACATAAACCCACTCCTTTTCTTCAGAAATGGCTTGTTGCAATAAGGTTTTATCATCATGACTCAGTATTGTTCTTTATAAATCATGTACATCTATCTCATTCTCATTTTACTCTTTCTTGTAATTTCCTAAACATGACATGGTGCCCGCTCAACTTGAAATCTTGAGAAGTTGACAAGGTTTATCTAGTAGGATCTACAAATTAGAAGTGTAAACAAAACTGGAGGGATCATTTTTAACTTAGGAGACCATTTTTTAAGGCGTGAAGGCATCACACAGAAATCAATGAAATTATAAAACTTTCAGAATTGGAAGAAAACGTTGGAATCTCTATAGTCCAGCCTTCCCATGTTACTTACATTCAAGAAAGTGAATCCCAAAGAAGCTGGATGAGTTGCCTAATGCAGTTAGGACTAGTGCTAGAACTTTAACCAATGTCCTATTAGTCTAGCAATAAACTTTCC